CGTCCCAAAGGTCTCGATGACTGCGTTTTGAGATCACGGCCCAGAGACCAAAGATCACGCTCGCGATCTCCTAACCTCAGGCCGTTAACTTTCCCGAATCCAGAATGCATATAAATACAAGACCCCTTTCCCCTTTTTGAAAAGAGTTGATTTTGAGATAAATTTTCTAGTTCTAGAGAGAGAAAAGAGAGAGAAGCTGAAGAAAGGAGAAGTTAGGAGCAAGGAGGCATCTTCTCCAACCCCAAGTCTTCTTCTATTTCTATCATGTATCTTCTTCTCTCCTTTATGGATTAGTCCTCCAAGGTACTAGGGGTTCTAAACGCAAACCCTAGTTTTAGGGTTTACTATGTATGTATCGATATTTTAGGGTTTGAATGAATGAATGTGTTTGTCTAGTTGATTTTAATGCCACTCTTTCCTAAATGATGACGCTTGGGTAAGTCGCCATAATCTTCCCTCTTAGCCTATTTTATGATACCGCGCTGGGTATGGAGTTCTAGGGTTAGACGGGTATGCGCCATCTGGCGAGTTTAGGTTAGATGTGTGAATGGGGCCCTATAGTGGTCGAAGCGACCGAACCCTTGCTATAGGTAGCCTTCCTAGATGAAACCCGGGATGAAACCTCGATGTGGACGGTGGATAGTGTACAATGAAATGAGCCATAAGTTTAATGCCCCAGATACGATAGCGTAGATCGAGGTGATTGGAACATGGGTTTAGGGGAGGCGTACTCGAAGACGTGTGGATAACCACGAAAGCCCACGGAAAAGAGCTCACTCACCACATTCGATGACCCTAAGTATCTAGATATACATAGTAACCCTAAGCTAGGGGGAGGGATAGTTCCCCGAAGTACTTGCTTTTAACTTTGATCAATCTCTCGACTAGTGTTTCCTCATATCCTCCACTCAAAACCTAAAAAACTGATTAACTAATTAGCAACTAGGTGGAAAGTAGACTAGGGTACAAGACCCGAGTAGAATATGACCTTGATTACCACTATACGACAGTGCCGTTCTAGGTTAAACTTGGTCTAGGATGGGATAGTTGTTGATACGTGCTAACCTATAACAATAACCTGCACAGATTCAAGTGATCAATTATCCCATAATATCTTCTTCCTCTTTTAGAATCGGCGGACAACAATATAAGCCTCAACCATCTCAAAATCCAACATAGCTCCTTAGTAGTCAATTCCATTTTCCTTCCATCCGCAAGGTCATGTCAATCAACCACATCTCATACAAAGAATAAGCAAAAATATTAGACAAACATGTATTTGGATTGAGACTTTGTGTGATTAACATAGACCAATTTCCTCATTTATATATACACCTGAAATCGAATTGGCGAAGAAGAGTAAAAAAGATTAAAAGAAAGAGGGTAGAGATTTAGAATTAATGCGTCATTTCCAAAAGAGAAAAAGTATAAAAAAATGAAACTCAATCCCACTGAATAAGTTATATTAAATCATCACTGTATCTAAATAAATCATAGAAACTTCATAAAATTTAAGCATAATACATGTGGAACCAATAAAAATTTTCATATACCTTGGTAAAGCTAGGCTAAAACCAGGTTAATCGAATTCAACCATTAATCCTTAACCCACTTGCTTAAACGAGTAATTGGTGGAAATCGAGTAACAACCTTGATTATAGCAAATTTAACTAAACAAATTCGTTGTATATTTATTACAGCATTATATATATATATAATATATCAATTAAGATATAGATATAGATATAGATATAATATGCTCTATTACATATATATTAAGAACTCCTTATTCACTACTGACCTTTAAAAATGCATGTAATTTCATTTTCCAATCATATTTTACTCAAATACATTTATATAACCATGAATGACTCCCTAAATTTCTCTTAGTTTTTAATGAAAGATGAGATGCACTTAATTGATTTATGAACTAAATTATATTTCCATATCACTAAAAGTACAGGCATTGTGGGGGGAGTTTTGGCCTTTGGGCTGAAAATACATGGAAATCTTTTGTTGGGAGTTTTGGCGTTTGGCAGTTTGGGTAATGGAGCCAAAATTTTGGGAGTTTGGGGGGAATTCTAAATTTTAGGAGGGAAAGTAGTGTACTGATATTTTATTTTATTTGGGTGTTCAGATTTTTCTAATTATCTTAAAGGGTAAATACAATTTAATATCCAAACTTTTCATTTGAAACAATATAATAGCCAAACCTTTTCAAAAACAATCTAATAGCCAAATCGTCAACTTTTCGTTCGTTTGACCGTTAGTTGACACTTCAAAAAAGCTTTGTTTAGGGGAAACTGTCACAATAAAACTTTATTTCTTGTTTTGGCATTGCAGATGACTGAATATTTAGATATTCTATACCATCATGGTGGAGTTATGGATTTCTCGGTTTTGGAACTACGATATGTTGGTGGTTTTTCAGAGAAGATATCGATGGATATTGATGAAGTGTCGTACTTCAAACTTTTTTGAAGTGTCAACTAACGGTCAAACAGACAGAAAATTGACGATTTGGATATTAGATTGTTTTCGAAAAATTTGGCTATTATATTGTTTAAAATAAAAGGTTTGGATATTAAATTGTATTTACCCCTATCTTAAATTAGTGAACTTGTTAGTGTATGTTTTGAGGTGGCACTGTGGGAGCATTTGCTATAGGGTATAAAATTTTGATCTGCATAATTCAGTAAAATCTGGTCGTATGATTGTTTATTACTCTAAGCAGTGAACCGTTATAAATTAAACTATCAAATTTAAGAAAATAATTATGACTTCAAGTGAACATATGGTAATAAAAAACTTGAAACATCAAACCATCAATACCTTATACCCTAAACCAAATACCCTAACCATATACTATATACCATAAACAATGAACCGTCAAAGATTATTTATCAAATTTAGTAAAATCGTTGTGACTTCAAATCATAGCTCTACTTTGTAAAATATACCCTGATAACCCTTACCCTAACCAATCAATACATTATACCCTAAATCATATACCCTATACCCTGAACCGTCAAAGATTGTCTATCGTAAAATCGTTATGACTTCAATCATAGCTCTACTCTATAACATATACCCTACTCTATACACTGAAGCTGTTGTGACAACTCGTAATTTGATACGAGGATACTTTACTAGTCAAAGTGAAACATTAAATTTGTATTCTTTTAAATGATTTAGTTATTGCAATCGTATAACTTAGCAGACCAATTTTAACCATCATTTTGAAATAAAAATTCATCTCGAACACAAGTTAAATGTGTCAAATTTTTACTCTGTTGTAAAGTAACGATAATGTATTGCTGAAGTTGCAATAAATGTAGAAGCATAGAAAACAAGTAGACAAATTAAGTGATTTTTCTAAAACAAATGGTTGTCGTAGCTAATGTTTTAATTTAGTTATTAAATCATTAACAATTACATATGGGTAAATACAATATATTAGCCATATCTATTAAGCAACGGGGAATTATATCCATTACTATCGAAATACAAATTATTAGCCATCACTATTATTGCGGGTCAAGATTTGGCTAACAGCCCGTTACTGTTTTCAAATTTTTAACGGAGAAGGCCATGTCATCATCGTAAAAAATATGATATGGGGACTGCCACGTGGAAGCCAGCTCAGCATCATAAGAGTTTAGTCATCATTACTAACAGAAAACTTAATGGTTGGCTAATAATTTGTATTTCGATAGTTGTGGTTATAATTCCCCGCTACTTAATAGTTATGGCTAATATATTGTATTAACCCATTACATATATATTAACCTTCAAATTATATAACTCCATACCCTAAACATAATAAAACTAATTAGTTCATATAGTAAGATAAGCACGTTGTTTATAAGAAGTTCCTAAATTAGTTCATATAATGGGCGTTATGTTATGTGTACTATAACATAAACGATTGGTTTATTATGATAAGATGACTCATGATCGGTTCTCCTATAGACAATGTTTTAGCTACTAAATGCTAAACTCTTAATTCATGATATGTTCCCAAATCTACTATATCCAATTAGTCATATGTCCTTATAAGACTATAATAATGTTTACTACAAACAATGTCTTACTCATTAAATGTTAAACTCCTAAATGGTCATAATTCATACGTAAACATTGTGATAATTAAATTGATAAGTAATTAAGTATATGATTTATAATGTAAAATAACATGAATTTTAGATAATTCGAGTGATATTATATTGAACTCATTATAGGTTTTCTAATGTAATATAGTCAAATAGTCATTCCATATAAAAGTATAATATAGTTAATTAGTCATGCCCTCCATATAAAAATTAAATATTCATATTTGAAAGGTTAAAATTTTGAAAAACCAAAAAGATGAAAACACCAAATTGTTTTCTTCTTTTTTTTCAAAAGAAAGAAAAAACTAAAAGTCTCCTCCTTCTTTGTCCTTACATAATTAGAAACACTCAATTTTACCTCTCATTTCATAATCAAAAGAACCAAACTTTTCCACTTTTTTCTCTTCTCACAAATCAAACCCACCAAACTTCCCCTTGTTTCTTTTCTCAAAATTCCAAAGCACCAAATTTTCCTCTTCTTTCTCTTACAAAAAAAGTTGAAAATAACAAAATTTCACTCTTCTTTTAAAATCATCAAATAGCTGATAAATTACTTTACTCTATTTATATTTAATTGATAAATATGTTGAATAGTTAAATTAACTAAAATTTTTAATTTATATATATTATATTAATATTATCCATGATATCAATTATTATCTTCAATATGTGTTGATTTTATATATACTTTTTTAATTTTTTAAAGAACTTAGTGTGCAAGTGAGTTTCATATTTTAATTTTTGTAATTTTATTAAAATACATAATATCAAGTGAGATTCATGTTCTTAAATTCCCTACACAAATTGAAAAAATAATTTTTATCTAAGTTCAGTATGAAAAACTTCATTTTGAAAAACTATATATTATATAATATAATAATTATTTAAGTGAATTGGGTGGAGTTCGGGTTAGTCGGTCGGGTCACGGGTTAGTCTGATTCGAGTCAATCGAGTTCGGGTTAATCGGGTTGTGGTCAATCAGGTTGCGGGTTAGTCGGGTTGCGGGTTAATCGGATTGTGAGTCAAGCGGTTTACGGGTTGTTGATTTTTATTCAATTCGGGTTGTGGACGGGTTGCAGGTCGGATTGATTGGGCGGGTTAGTCGGGTCGGGTTATGTTTTGACACCTCTATCTATGAGTGAGAAGGGAACGGAAAAGAAAAGATTGTAGGCTCTATAAGCGTATCGACTGAAAGATAAGGGACCTTAACGTAGTTTTCCTAGAATTCAGGGCCGGTTTTGGTTTTTATTAATTGTGGTCCAGGCGTCCAGCTCATTCGGCGAAAGAATTAACCCGGTTAGGTCTTTCTGAACCGCGTCTTCTTACAAAGAGTCACAAGCCCGATTTCGTCTTTCGCCGCCGCCACCAACAACCTCTCTCCTTCTCCAATCTTGAAAATCAATTCTCCGATCTCCTCCTTGATTCTTCATCCAATCCTTCAAATCGTTGCCCGATTCGTTCAATTCGATTCGTTCTCTGTCGATCGACACCTTTTTTCCCTCCTGCCGTTGAGTTTTGATTAACATAGGGTTAGGGTTCCAGATCTGCCATATTCGACGCCTCTATTCCACCGATCCTTCATAGTTTTGCCTTTGATTCGTCTTATTGTTTGATTTCACCTACCGATTTCCCTCCAATTTTGCGGATAATCGTGTTCCGGTCGCGTCCTTGGGGTTTCGATTTTTTTCGGTAGTTTCGATCTGCGTCGTCTCGTTCGATTCTTCGAATAGGTTGAGGGGTTTTGTTCCCTGGGCTATTACTTTGACGAAAAATCCCTTTTTGATACGTCAATTCGTTGTTTGATCGGTGAATTCGAAATCTAGGGTTAGGTTTTTTTTTTGAAAAAAATTCGTGGACTCTGTTTGCCTAAATTGGTTTGGGGGTTTCGTCAATTGGCCTCTGTTGATTGTTTGAAGTCATTAATTCGGTGTTTCTGACTGCTAATTTCTGCTCCAATTGTCCAATTTCGTCCGGAGGCTTGAACGTGAAGAACACTTTTAAGGTAACTTGTTTTAAATTGGGATTGATTACCTTTAAAATTTGTATGGGTCACTGGATGACCAAATTGATGAGTTCTCTTCGTTCAATTGGAGTGTGTTATCATGAAGCTGGTAGTTCCGGTACTCTAGCTTTGTGGGAGTGTTTTGATCTTTGACAAGTTAATGATGATTGCCAATTTTTGCATTAAACGCTGCACCGCTGCTGTGTGCGTTACTTCTATTGTTCAGCGACACTGCTAGCTTGGTCTTGAAATGATACTCTAATGTCTTGCATGCTTTGCAGGTTGATATGGGATATAAAAGGCTATTTGATGATACTGATTTTCAAGAGCTTCCCTCAAAGCAAGCAAGACAGCTGGACTTCAGCACTAGATCGACTCAGTTTGCAGAAAACCTGCCTTACATGAGTTCTCCTAAGAAACCTGATTCTTCAGGTATATGGATATGCGTTTTCAGATAATTCATATTGGGCTGTAAATCGCAACTATGACAGATTCTCGCCACTGTTATGTTTGTTAGTATTTGAACTAGTACAGTCATTGATTTCAATTTTACATCTTGGAGCAGTTAACCAGGACAATAGGAATGGAAAACCTCTGCGGCATGAGGCATCTGAAAATGCTGTTGTGCCCAAGAATTGCACCAATGAGGATGTCAGCTTCAAAGTTGCAGCTTGCTCTTCCTTATCTCCTCAATATCCCGATTATAGGGGCCTATGGGAATTTATCCCATTCAGCAATGTCTACATTCCTTACTTTGACCGCTTCCCAAGAAAGCAAGTTCCTCTAGGACAAAACCATCAAGCCATCATCCCTCCACTGTGTTCCAATGTTGAGAAGCACAAGAAAGGGGCTGAAGGATTATCTGAGCCAGATGCTTTGTTAATGTCAAGCGACGAGGAGAAGAAGCTAATGGGCACTTGCATCCTTCCGATGCCTGATACTGAATGTTTCTCTCCTGACCAGGTTGGAGTTAGTGGATCTAATTGTTGCTGCCTAGATTCAGGGTCACTGAGATGCGTGCGACAACATGTATCAGAGTCTCGGGATAAGCTGAAAAAATCTTTGGGTCATGAGAATTTCTCGAGCTTAGGGTTTAATAACATGGGAGAAGAGGTAGCATGGAAATGGACCGAGGATGAAGAGCGTTTGTTCCATGCTGTTATCTATTCCAACCCTGCATCCTCTGGTCAGAACTTCTGGAACCACCTTACACAAGTATTTCCTGCTCGGTCCATGGACGAAATTGTAAGCTATTACTTCAACGTCTTCATGCTTCGAAAGCGGGGGTCTCAGAACAGATCCGAAGTCCTCGACGTCGATAGTGATGATGATGAATTGCATGGGATTGATGTAGGCTCGTATGAAGGTGAAGAAGACTCGGAAGAAGAAGAGGAAGGTTCCGGTGTTGAATCTCCCGTTGAGGATTATAGTCGTCAATTGAACCGCGGTGAGGATATTGTTACTGAAGATGACGACGATGATGACGACGATGATGGTGATGGAAGCAGCCACATGGGAAATTGTTGTTATGGAGGTTTTACAGGAGATGAGAACTCAGGAGGGGTTGATTACGTCTCGGAGGGAGCACCATGTGGTAATAAGTCGTTTTCTGGTAACATGTACGATTCTGTGTTCAAACATGCACCAGAGAAGCATGATGATGACCAGACTGCTATCCAAGATGACTCATGCACGTCTTTTGAGTTCCAAGCAGATAAGGATGATCCTTGTTACCACCTGACAGGGGAGGGGGAGGCTGCTGCTCTTCATGGGAGTGGAGTTGATAATGTTTATGTCAAGAGTTGCTCAAGTGGCGGTCAAGTGGATGCTTGCAGCTACATGATGGATGTGGTGCCCATGCTGGATTTTCATAACGATGAAGTTTTGTACAGACTCTACTCCAGTCCGGAAAAACTGCCCGCAGAAGATGCAGCCGGAGACTATATGGTTCAAGATTACTCATGCCTGCCTTCGGAACCCGTCGGAGTTGCAGTAGAAGATGGTGGAGCTGAGAATGGAGTAGTCTCTGGCAAAGTAGATAGCGGGTGCAGTGATGCGATGGATCTGATTCCCATGTTGGATTTTCGCGATGAGAAAGCATGGGATGCTATTTTCCCGGGCTCTGTATAGGGGGGCTCTGGTTACTGCAGCATCATTGAAGGGGGAAAAGATGTGAAATTACCAGAAAGACTGAGCAATTGGCAACTGCTTTTCTCGGAAAGATCAGTAGCACATTCATCCGTTGTTGCACTAAAGCTCAGTGCAGCTTGTGAGATGGCCGAAGTGGCCAGGAGGAAGAAAACAGCAGGAAAATTTGTTCTTTTCTTTTTGGCTCTCGATGTACATTCTTAATGTGGCATGGCAGTGCCACCGGCCTTTTCCCCTGTCCCATTTTTCTTGGGTATCAAGTGAAATACCCAAATTCTGGATCAATAGATAGATATGGGGAAAGAGGTACTGGAAGAGCCAATTGACATGTAAATAACATATCTATTCAGATAAACTGATTTGACTGCACCTTGAGAAGGGCTCCCCCATATCAGAAATGGTGCTCTGTTTTGGATACTTTGTAACAGAATGTTACCTAAACGAACTTAGAATTAGGTGGCAAAGCTTTTTTTCTTCTTGAAAGCTCCTGCCACTTGGCCAAAGTTGGCCAAAGGAGGTAGAGTTATGAAATTTGGAGGTAGAGTTATGAAATTTGAGAATGTAATTGGGTGCATAGATAATTGTTGTATAATTTTGTTTGAAAATACGTGATAAAAATAGTGAATTTTAGCAAAAAATGGCATGAATGATGCGATAAAAATTAAGTCTTATGAACCATTGTATAATTTTATTTGAAAATACGTGATAAAAATAGTGAATTTTAGCAAAAAATGGCATGAATGATGCGATAAAAAATAAGTCTTATGAACCAAGGTCGAACCAAGGACGAGTACTATTTACATTGTGAAACATTATTATTTCTGGTAATATGAGGAGGTGGAGTAAGTTGATAGAAACCAAATTCTAGAAAAACCGAATAAAAAATAGCCTATCCCTCCAGTCTTCGAGAAATGAGCATCTCACAATCGTTGCTAGCTTTTATTCGGCCCGTTGGCTTATTAATTTTCTTTATAAAACTTACATCTTGTCATAAACAAATGGAAAGGGTTAAATGGTTAACCTATGATCCAACTCGATTAGCCTAATTTTTCTAATTTGAAACATATATTATGCTATAATTTTATATCTTAGTGGCTAAAATATAATATATTTTCAATTTATTAAATGGTTAAACCTCGACCAACCCAATTAGTCCAATTATTATCATTTCAAATATATATTATGTAATTATTTGATATCATAATGATTAAATTATAGTGTATTTTATAGGGAATCGTTAAAACAATCCTAAATATTTTTAGTTTCCTTTCGACTTTCTATGGTTTTGTTTCCGAAGTAGTGATGTGTAAATGGCGAATTGCAGTCTTCTTTTTTCTTTCACTATTTTTTATTATCAAATAGAAAGTTTGAAAGTAAAAAATAATTGGAGTTTGGCATAGGATCGGTCAAACAAGGTGAGTTTAAATAAAGTTTTGGCACGTTTTGATCAAGCCTAATTTATAATCACATGGTTCCCTGACACCCGATAAAAATCTTAATCCAAACCAGTTCGGCAGCTGAGTCTGTGTCACCATTTTCTAGGATTACATAAACGACGGTTGCTATCCCAAATTGTGTTGTTCGTTCTTGATTTAGTTAGATTTTATCATGGCATGACAAAAACCAGAAAGCACAATGAATGCGCCGAACCCAGAATCGTCGGGAAGGAGGGTGGAAATCGCAAACACAATGGTGGATCTCTCGACCCAATCTCCTTCACGCTTCCTCGACCAGATCTTCTCGTCGGCGGGAGAGAAGCAAAGACAGAGGGGTACGGAAACAACTTCCGATTGGTGACACGCTAAAACACAACATCAAACTGCGACCAAGTGTAATCGCAGCCCGGAAATGCAAAATAGTGGCAAGTCTATTTATCAACCCGGGGTTTAGATCTACTGCCTACTCCGTGATTATCTATTACCTAGCAGACTAAGTTGAGTGATTGTGATTTTAAGCAAAAGCAGAAAGAAAGCTGGAAATGATTCGAAGTTCTTAAGTAGGGGAAGAGTCACTCGGGAATGAGTCCCCCTAGCTCCTTAGTTAGGTCAAATTTGTAATTACCTTTGGTTGATTTACGGTTGATTAAATTGCGGAAGATCGGACAGTAGCTTGGAATCTCTTAAGCTGACCAAGCCCTCTAAGACAAACTAACCGACAGGCGACTAGCCTTCATCGGGATAGACTGCTGAGGCAATAAACACAGAACTCCTCTACTGGAATTGGATTCCAGTACAAAGCAGTAAATCGATTAACTCTCGTATAACCAATTCACTACTACCGATTGATGAAGCTCTAACAACCTAATCAGATTCTATCTATCTCAGGTTGCAGCAGAAATCAAGAAAAGATGATCAGGCTTCAATTGACTCAATGAATCATGCATCAATCGATTATAATCAAGCAGTATATCAATCCAAAGTCATTACAATCAAGATTCCTAACACATGGAACTACGGTTCTTCATACCCAAGTGAGAGAGGGTTCTACTCCATAGAGAGAGAGAGAGAGAGAGAGAGAGAGAGAGAGAGGAAAACAGAATAGAGCAGTCATACTCATAACAATGGGAAGAATATGCTATGGGATGTCAATCTTCACTCCTGGGGATGCAATCTAGGCTTTAATGGTGAGAAATCCACCCCAAATAGCTCCTAGGGTTTGTTCTTCGCGCTTTCTCTCTCTAAAACACTGTTTTCTGCTAAAAAAGTCGATTCCCTTTCCTTTGGCTTGAATTTGCTTCAAAAACCCGATTCTGGGCAAAACACGGTCGAGGACACGGCCGTGTTTAACTTTTGCCCGTCCGTGTTCTCGCCACATGTTGGAAAAAACGCCTGCGTCGGCCTAAAACACGGTTGTGCCCAATAATTGACACGACCGTGTTTTCTCCAATGGTGCCCGTGTTTTGGACTTCTCGGCAGCCTCCAAGAACACTCTCTTGGCTTAAAAAGCACGGTCTGGGACACGAACGTGTTTTTCTTTAGTGCAACCCGTGTTTTGCTTCTTCATCGTTTCAACTCTCGCACTAAAAAACACTGGCGTGCTCATTTGTGTACACGGCCGTGTTCTTCAGGCCTCCTGCCCGTGTTTTGACCCCAACTCGATCGAATGACCTCCAAAAGCCCCGAAACTCGTGCCTAGCTTTCCCTTCGACGTCTGGGACCTGAAATGTGACAAAGTAGCACAACCCAGCGTAAAATAGCCCAAAAATTCATGACTACGAGCCGCAAATGGATAAGAACTAAGGGTGCAAACATGTGCAAATACATCGGTATCAATCGGGCTGAGAAGTGGAGGAATCATCACCAGAACGGGAAGAAGTACAGACTTCACATGAAATTGACTGCGAAGAACCGAAATCACCGTAGAAGGTCGGTACAGGCGGTGAGTTTGTTTTAAATCACTCGTTGATCCGCAGTTGGCTTGCAGATGAGAAGGGTATATAAAATATCATTTATTTTGTTTATATTAATAATATATAAATCGTAAAGTATTAATGGATAAAGGATTAATAATATGGAAAAGGTATATTTTCACAATATTGCATTTAGATTGTATTAATCCTTTCTTCCATTTTTTCCGTCATAAAATTTAACAATTTGAAATTCGAGTAAAAACTAAATTAAAGTCCAAGATTATTGCCACAAAAAAAGTCCAAGATTATTAGTAAATGGTATTTGAGCTTTCCATCCCCAGTACTTCTACAAGTCTATTGTTACGTTGATGTAAAAACAGAAAGGACAATAATATCCAGCAACCAGAAGCATCGAGACGGTCGATTATTCTCCTCAATTCAAAGGTGTCGGCTCTTCCTGTTCGACGTCCACTACTGGTCGTCATATCTCTCCGTTGTCGGAACTCCTTGTTTCCTCCGTAAGGAAGTATCTTTATAATCTCAGAGCCCTATCCCACTACTTGTTGGTAGTTCTTTCATTTTCGACCGACCTCAATTAATTGGCAATCTCCTTCATCCATTTAGAGTCGATGGTCGCAGTGTTCTCGCCTCTCGTTGAGTCTACTCTTATTTCACCCATTCACCCAATTAGTGGCTCAAAGTTTCTTTTCAAACTCTACGCAAAAGGACAGTTTTAATCGGATCCGCGTTCTCCCACAACAAATCCGTGCTCCCGCTGAAATTAATTCTCGAATTGTATACGACTTGCCAGAAATTCGCGTTTTGGCGGATTGGAGTGTGAACGTGGGCTTGGAACCCACGAATTGGGTATCCTAAGTCTGGCCGAACAGATGTGCGTGATTGAAACCTATTATGTTTTGTGGGCCGCAACAATCTCTGTGCCCGTTCAAGTCCGTGCGTGTACGGTAAGTTGGCCTGTTTCACAGTGAAAAGAGGAAAAAATTAGTACTACCTATTCTACCATTACTACAAATGCTCCTAGAGCAGCAAATTTGAAATGGGAGAAGGGTTTTTTCCTTGATGCTATTATATTATGTGTAGATAAGATAGATATAAATTTAAACTAAGTATTAACATACAACTAAAATAGTCAAAATATGAAAATCAAAGTATCAAAACCAAATAAGTACTTACGGGAAATTCAGTGACCAACTAATCGTTGAAAAAGTCATATGATTTTTAGAATTTAGGTTCATGTATGTTTTTAATTTAAAAAGATACAACAAATATATTTAGTGTGATTGGTTATGATCCTTGCTTTTCTTTAAAGTTACCATGGTTCAAATCTTAGTACATGTCTTTTTTATGAATAAATAAATAATAAATAAGCAACCGTGATGACCAAAATGTCCTTTCTACATTCACTCTCGTTACAAGAAATTTGAAATGCAACAACAATTTTTCTCTTTGTACTATTATATTATTGTAGATAGATGTAGATTGGAAATTCATTCACAAACCCCCATGTAAAGATACTACAAACAAGGGAAATGGCCTGCATTAGCTCACAAATCAAAGCAAAGCCCAAAACAAAAACCAACTCCCAAAAGGCAAAAGGAGCTGCCGCACCGAAAGTGGCCCACTCCATCCATCCGTCGGAGACAGAGAGACCGCCGGCGAGGAAAGCACGATGGAGTCTTTTCAACAGCACCAAAGACATCGGACACGAAACCCTCGGTCCATTATTATAGCTAATTCCTATCCGTAATTTCTACTATTCAATGAATGGTCACCATGCAAATAGCGGCGGATCCAAAACATAATAGAGCACTGGGCCGCAGTTCATTAAGAAATCAGATCTCATCAAAAAATCGTAGTCTTTTAACAATATCAATTGTAAACGTCAATATTTTTTTTTATGCGATAAACGTCGATATTTTGATATAGCTAATTCATCAATAATGGAGTCTACATCCATACCAAAAGCATACTCTCTTTAAAAATAAATAGTTAACCAATCGACGAGAAATTCATCGCTCATTTTGTTGCGCAAATAGTTTTTCACATGTTTAATTGTTGAAAAAGTTCTCTCCATAGTAACTGTTGAAACGGGTAATGTCAACACTAGACAAATAATCGACTAATCAATATGTATTGTGTGTTCATCCCTATTTCCACCAGCAGTTTTTGTAATTTTTCAAGGGAACAAACCTCATATTTTTTTAGTCTTTTAGGTTTCATTGTTTGTTTTTCTTTACACGAGAATCATTGGAGCTAGAATTTCTAGGCTAAATTTAGAACTGTGATTTGAATATGTTCATATGACCCATTTTCCTAATTACACACAATGTTATTTAAAATAACACTGGGCCGAATGGCTAAAATCGATAAACTCATAAGAGTTAATACTAACTTCATATGTATTGGGGGTTAGTCAGATTGGAAAGTAGTTGATTGTGGAATAAATTGGTTGGCGATTTTAATGTTTTAAAATGGTTGAATTACGGTTATAACATGATTTCACCATAAAATATCCTAGGGTTAATTGCATGGTTGGTCACTGAGATTACAAAAAGCATTCATGTTTGGTCACTCGAAATATTTAAATCCATTTGTGGTCCCTGACTTTACAAAACCGTTCATTTATGGTCACTCTCCGTTAGCTGCCGTCCAACGGCGTCCGTTAAGTGATGACGTGGGTGACGGATTCGCCTAATCAACACTTTTTAACCCAAAAATTGACTGACCCGATCCGCCACGTTATTTAAACACGCCAGGTCAGCTAAACCTAACCAAACCTCTAACCAAACCAGACCAAACCAAACCCGCTAACTAAAACAAACCTGACCTGACCCGATCCACCAACTAATATACCCACCTTTGACTAAAACCCAAATCGAAGACAAATCAATCCGCCTCCATCCGCGCCGCCTTCCTCCCTCCCGTTTTTCTTCCTCTCCAACTCTGAGCTTGTAGGCGGCGCGATCGTAAGCGTAAGCGGCGACTTCAGAGGTCTCGTAGGTGCCGAGCCAGACTCGCATCCTATTCTGCGAGAGCTGAATCTCTGCTACCTATTTCCCCCAGTGCCTCTGCCTCACTCCTCTGTACAGCTTCTTCGCCGTCGCCGGAGCGAACCGCCGGGCAGCTCCTCTACAATGGAGAGAATCTCTGGAGCGAGTCTATGTTGAGCCGAAGGATGAATCGGTGGTGGGTCTGTTATGCTCGCTGAATTTTCGGAGGAGGTCTCGCTGGTGGAGGTAGACGGAGGAACCGAGAGGCTATGTTTTGGCCGCCTGTGGCGGTGATGTGTTGTGGCTGCAGAAGGAGAAGACGGAATCGAGAGTGCTGGAGCCCGCGCCACCCATTAGTATGAGCTGGGAGAGGGAGGTCCCGATTTTGGTTAAATCGGTGGGAATGTGTGATTGTAATTGTTGTGACCTTAAAGAGCTTCCATGGTTGGTGATGGAAGAAGCTAATGGAAAGGGGGGAAAACAGGGGATGGAGTTGAAACAGAGGAGGGGATTGGATTCAAACGGGGACTTGCTGCACTCGTAGAACCTCCTCCCTGGATTCGCCTCTATCCAGCTTGTCTTGAGATCTGATGCCAATCCACAACGACAGAAAGGTGTCGCCATTAGCAGAGGAGAAGGGGATGAGAAGAAAACAGAGATGTGAAGGTTTTGGGAAGATGATAGGATTCTTGTGGCCAGGAAGCGACATAAATAAGATAAATGGGTTGGTGGGTTGGTTCGGGTCGGGTCTGGTCTGGTTTGGTTAGGTTTAGCTGACATGGCTGGTTGAAACGACGTGGCGGGTCAGGTAAGTAAATTTTCGAATTAAAAAGTGCTGATTAGGCGAATCCGTCACCCACGTCATCACTTAACGGACGCCGTTGGACGCCAGCTAACGGAGAGTGACCATAAATGAACAGTTTTTGTAAAGTTAGGGACCACAAATGGATTTAAATATTTCGAGTGACCAAACATGAACGCTTTTTGTAATCTCAGTGACCAACCATGCAATTAACCCAAATATCCTACCAACAATTTTTCGATACAATCTCCAATAGGATTTTACAATCCTTCATAGTCTAATTCTATATGCTCAGATAGGTGATTCCAAAACTTTATCACGCACGTTATAGTTGTAGTACCTAAAATTGTACAATACAGTTGGTGGAAAGGTTTGAGTCGATTTACTTATCAAGATTATATACCATATTACCATTTGACATACTAGACTACTATTGTATAAACAAAACACTAGTTAAGATTGTAAAGTTGCTAAGTATAAGTCATTTTATCGGAACAAGTGAAGCACATATTTGAATTTATCTCAACTCATTTGAATACTATCCAACTCTTTTAGAATTTTGATAAACTTATGAAACATGTTATTCAGTCATATAACTACTCCAAAATTCAGTTCACCTCAAATCTTCTCACAACGAATTCCACCCTAATCATAGGGGAAGAAAAAAAAAAAAAAAAACAAGACCAATTTTCAGCTTTTCTAAACATGAAAACCCACGAGATTGCCAAGTCCAACTACTACTCCTACTCTTAAGACTTAATTCCCTTCATTTCGTTCTACATTAACTAGCTTTTTATCCGTCGGAATGTTATTTGAATACAATGTAATTATGAATTATGATGTGTATTTAAATTTTAATTTATTTGAAATGATGAATTTCGTATGACATTAAGATGGACATCAAAATTATTTTTTCATTTTCGAAATTCTTATAAATTTTCATCACTAATGAACATTGTAATCTTAATGGTTATAACCAAAGTTGTCAAACCGGTTTAAGTCATTGAGCCTGTGAAGCAAGCGGTTTAAAGTTTATTGGTTTGATCAACATCCAACCTATTTGAGCCGTTTTATACCCTTTCTAAATATATTTACATATAAGATAAAAATTTAGTGATTGAAATGAAATGTAATGTACTGACTTATATCTATTAAAAACTCAAATTACATAGAAAAAAAAAAACAAATCGATCTCAACATCCACCCACCATCCCTTGCCTCTCTCTTCTTCTTCCTCTCTAACGATCAGAATCTTGATTTTGTAGAGCCCGTTTTTTAGCTCGACTTTCGTCGGACCTTGTCCAACCATCCGCTCGTTATCGGTGTAACAACCTTCGTTATAAGACTCATGAATAATCATTCATAATTTGTCTATTTTATGATGTAGTCACTTAGTTGCCTATGACTGAAAAGAGAATTGACATAATAAAAAAAAAACAGTGTGTCTGAAAAAGCGTAGCATAAATAAAAAAACCCATGAACATAATCTTTAGTCAATATTTATTTTTTTTGCTTGAGAAATAATACATATATAGCAATACTGCAATATCTAAACCTTAAAGTATTTTGCACAATACAATAACAAAATTAGCAAGAAAATAACATTTTTCATCCATACTCTATGCAATAAAAAATTATTTACCAACCAGCATACTCTAAATTTAGTTGAAGGACAATCTTATTCACTCAACAAAAAAATTAAGCCTATCTTGTGGTACCTACCTTGCTAATGCACATAACCACATAAATGCGTCCATGAAAACTCCAGCCTACTTTCATGATTTGTATTGTACCGTGGTTATTCCATATTAAACTAAGTAACTATGGATGATACTTATGGTCAATTTCCATATAAAATAAAAATATTTAAATAATTGAAATCATATAGAAAATTTGGTATTCAGAAATTGTGTTCTTTTAAACTCACCCATTTGTCCAATCATGCCATTTTATCAAGAGATAGGAGTTAATGGATAACCAAACTATAATTTTCAAAAAACAGGTCACTTACAGTTTGCATAACAATATCATTGCTTTAATAGTTCTAAAAATTAATACAAAGTTAAAAATTCTACCTCACAACTACATCTACATATTTAAATTCAATATGCAATATTCGAATCAATGATATTTGGGTTGCAATTTTAAAATTATCCTCCATTTATAAGATAGACAAAATTAATATTATTATTAAACTCAAACTAAAATGATCAAAATATGAAAATTCAAATATATCAAATAAAAATAAATTACTTACTAATGAGTTATGGGCTAGGTAACAGTAAAAGAAAAATCATATAATTTTTAGATTTTGTATTTAAAAAGATACAAAATATTTATTTAGTGTAATTGGTAATTGTTGTTGTCTTTGTTTGAAAAGATCATTGTTCAAATCCCGAGATTAATGTATTTTTTCTTATGAATAAAAAATAAATAATGATTGTAAAGACACAATTACTCTTCCTACTTTCGCTCTCGTTGCAAGAAATTTGAAAAGCGACTTACTATTCTGCTATAATCTATCTATCTATAACATATATTATGGTTGTTTTGTGAAAACATTCTGCCACATCAGCCATAGCTAATTCCTCCTTAATCCTCTCTTGGCTAATAATTCTCCCATACTAATTTACTCTCCCTCTATCTACCCTAATTAATACACCAACGTATAAAACTAACTATTCACCTCCTCTCTCCATCATCTCCAACTAAAATTTAAGTGCCTATAAACTAATTATCATAAACATTCTCTTCATTTTATATTTCTTTAAAACATGTTAACTCATGTAGTCATGCTGTACGTATTTGCCCTGCCATAGGGCAAATGAATTCCACCAATTTTAGATTAATACCTTACGGTTTGCTTTTAAAGTCCAGCCCTCAATGAGATTTCCTTTTTGTGATTAATGTTCGATAAAGTTTATAAATATTTGGATAAAATTATAAATGAAATATTTAAAACTAATTATTATCCAAATCTCTTATTTATTTTTTCATGTCATGTTCATTTTAAATGAAAATAATGAGAAATGAAAGAACAGTCTTTCATACTCTAACACATATATTTTGTTTTTGCTAATAGAAAGTGTACTAATAATACACTTATATTTTTATTTACTAAATAAAATTTTGTGCGCTTATTGCATTGGTTGAAGTTAATATAATGGAATTAAAAATGCTAACTTGCTAAGTAAATTGTTATTTACTAAAAAATATGTTTTGTGTGCTTATTGCATTAGTTGAAGATAATATTATGAAGGCAAAATACTAAATTGCTAAGTAAAAGATATTATCACAATCGTATATTCATGCTACATGTTTGTTTGTACATTATGAAATTACAAAATATATCCAAATAGTTCAGTCATGTGTTACCATTCTACATGATAATTTCGTTTGTGTAAGATAATTGTTGATTGTCGTGGAAATATTTGTTCATATATTTTTAATAAGATTATTGTTAATAAGACAGAGATGTTGATATAGGAGAAAGCAGTCACATGATAGATCGTGCTCTTTATGCTTTTTTCGTCTCTACAAACTGAATTCAACATCTCTATCTTATTAAAGAGGATACAATAAATATTTCTCTAATGCAACTCATGCCTTTGTTTTTACATCCATCATTTTTATTTTCTAACTTCCATGCACACTTATGAAGAACAGTGTCTTCAGTTTTTTGCCTAATGCAATTCTAATGCCTCTATTTTTCTTTCTATTTTTGGACATAATTCTTTTCTTTGTCATTGTGCATGATGATAAACAACTTTGGGTCAAGTTCATATGCATACTTGAAAGTTACGTCGCAAGTTTAAATATTGGAAAGATTTCATGGTTAAAATTTCAATAAATCTTTTAATAACATACATTGATCAATTGTATTGTATTTTCTTCAATTGAAGTCGGATGTTAATAATTTTGTACATAAAAGTGAATTAACCGTGATCTAAAAAATGATATTCGTTTATATTTTTTGGTTAAAATTTTCAATCACGTATACCACTTTGATATTGAATTAATGTTGGATGATATGTAAGGTGGAGACAAAGTGTCTCTCTAACTAACATTTTTATATAATTACTAAACGGTTAAAGAGAATACACAACAATAGATGTATAGGCAGCGGGTAGTATAGGAGTGCAACTAGACTTTGATTCTATGCTCATGATATGCAATTGTCTCTTCCTTTCATTTATCTAACCATGCTTATTTCTTAGGCAGTTAGCAAATATGACCTCATTCAAGTACATTTTAGTGTTCCTTTGTTGTTATGTAAAAAAAAATTACAATGAAAAAAGAATTGTGCACAACAAAAGTTTCAATTTGTTGTAACAAGAGAAAATCATTGTTAGGTGCTCGATAGCCCCCTTAATCTCTCAGGGTGTTATTAATGTTGAATAGCGAAGTTGTAAATCATTTTGGGAGTGAATAAAGATCTATTATGATATCATCAGCTTTAGTTCTGTTGTTAGCAAAATCGGTCATAGTTTGAATGACGGACGAGAGTTATAAGTGTTTTCATCCGGAGGACAAATTTGTCATTGTCATTGTTTGAGAAATATACAACTAGAAGATTCAACTACTATGGTTGTTGATTTATACATTCAAGAAACAGATAACTGAGTTGAAAAACAACTCCATTTGATCATTGCATATGACGAAATGTCAAGATTCAAGTTAGTTATATAGCTGTCAAAATCAATTACAACTCAGTTCCTTTGGTTTTATTAGTGTGGCATGAAGTTGCAAAGTATTTTTTAGAGTTAGTAATTAAGGTTATACAATGGTATCTTTTGACTTTATTAAATGGGTGGCAAGGTCGAACACAATTTGAATGATGGGCATGGATTATACATACCAATCAAGAGATAAATTTACTAAAGATTAAGCAGTTTACTACCACCAAAATGTACAAGAGCTATGCATTCGTCAAATGGAGAAAGAACTTGAAAATTGACTCCAATTCGATCATTTGCATATGATAATTTGAATCCTCTATGTGAATTTGTTGTCACGAAGTTGAGAGAAATGCTAGATGCTCACAAGTCTCAATATTTGGCTCAAACATATGGATGCATGAATGACAAAATCAATGCAACATCATGTGCAAGTGCAACATCTAAAGTTGAAAACCATTGTCCAATTAAAGATATGAAGATCATGACATAGTCTTCAAACTGGTGATGAAGTTGTGACTTTTTTTGTTTACATGATCATCCATTATGGCCAATATTATTGGAAAATAACAACTTATAAAAAGAAGAAAAAACCAAATAACATTCCGCCCATCGGGCGGGCACAAAACTAGTATATTTGTAGATAGATGGAGCTAAGTATAATTTAGAAGGAGTGGAGCTGGCTTGCACTGAAATTACAAAACAAAAAACTTGTGGTATTATGAATCCAATATATGACAAGTGGTCAGGCGGTAGTGTGGTTAGTTACAAGATTAAACTATTGGCTCCACAGCTTTTATATTTTTGTCTCGTTTTCCAACTTTAATTATATAAAATTTAAGTCCTTATGACTTACCATTAGGTTTTGTAAGGTTAAGCTTAAATGCCATTGCAACATGCATAAAATGATTTTTACCCCAACGTATAGCTTGTATTTGCCTATTTGGTATATGAGATTACTCCAAAATTTCAAATTGTATTATATGAGTATTAGATATAAATATAATTTGCTCTTGCTATGGCAATTGTTGGATCAGGTTAAACAAGCAAAAATATATTTTCTAATACAAATTTTTTCTTATGGTAGATCCTTTGTAAGTTGAGAAATTTATTGACTAAATTTTGAAGTAAATTCTAATAAACCAGGTCAATCATGTTAATATTGAACTAATTGTAGTAAAAAGTTAGCTAGACAGATTTCAGTGATATTAAAAAAAATGATTGAAATTTTAATATGAAAATTCTGTTCTCATATCATCATTTTGATTTTAAATTTTTTTACTGAGCAGCCCGAACCTTGAATCCTTGCTTCGCTCCAACTAAAATTCTATTTCAATTTTTATCTAAGGTGAAAATGTGTGCATTTATATAATGAAAAAACATTATTAAATGGTAGAATACGGGACCAGTCGGCCTCCTTTTCCAAAATTTTGATTTAATCATGAGAACCTATTACAATTTGTTATTTTCACCCCATTATTGTTTTAAATCCTGACTCGCCACTGCTGTTAACTGTGTTTTCGCTTGTTAAATTTTTGTCACGACAAAAGAAAGCATTTGTGCTGGTCTTCCGGCCGTGCGCAAAGCTTTCGATACGCTGCATGGATCCGAAACTTCTGCTGAAAATTTGTACACACACTCGCTACTTACTCATCGTTCCACACTTGTCTTTTTTTAACGGTCTCTCTCTTCTTTTTTTACCATCAAAATCAGAAGTAACTTAACTTGTTAATTGTTTTTATTATCCCAAAATTGACCTCCCCCTCTTCAGTCTCACAATAAGGGCAGTAAAAATTTTAAAATAAAAAATTAATAAAAGGGTAATTCTCTTACTTGAAATTGAATAGCGATAGAGATATGTGAAGTAATTCAGGTCAAATTGAAATCGAAAGCATGAGAAAAAAAAATGTAAAAATAAAAGGCAACATTGAAACCTTAAAGAGTAAAGAAAAATGAAAGCTAATTTATTGCCATAACTCGTAAGCATTTTTGAAGAATAGATTTCATGACTAATCCCCAAGAAGTTGGTCTCTTGATAAAGCAGATAATAATGTTCACTACATTATTTGAACTGAAAACTCACAGAAATAAACACTTATTCCTAGGATGGATTCCATAACATATAGCTTCTTGAAGATTTTCATAAGAAAAGAAGAAATTGGAGAACAATTCTATAGCTACAATTGATGTAAAAAAAAACATAAAAACAAATGGCTTATACTTCATAAGCAAACAAATTGAAACAATTCCTTTTCTTTTCCCTCTTTTCCCCCACTATTTAAAGTCATCTCTTGGTTCTAAATCAAAAGGAGAGAGCTACTAAAGCCAAACAAGCCCTCCTCCTCCAATCACCAAAAGATTGAACAAAATTCATGTTACTGAAAGCTTGTTTCTTGTAAGCTGTCCTGTCTATTTGTCTGTACACTCTGCCATCATTGTCCTCACAGAAAATATTTCTGACCCTTTTCACAAGAAACCAAATTCCAAACCAAAGCTCCCATCTTTATATCCATTCCCTTTTTTGTTTTTCCTCGCCTTCTGAGAATTGGCCTTGGTTCATAAAGGTGGTTGTTGTTTGTTTCTTTGAATTTGATTACCAGGTCACAAACCCATTTTGAGCTTCTTGTTGATGATGGTGTTGTTCTTCTTCCACAGGAGCTGGGAGGTTGAGATCAATGAGTCCAACTTGTTGCTTAATAACCACTGTTGCATCATCAGCTGCTCCAACAAAATGGGACCTCTTGTGCCCTCCCAAGGCTTGACCTGACCTAAACACCTTTGAGCAAAATGGACACTCATGGGTTTTCACCTTTTTGGCTGCTGCTGCTGATGAGGATAAGAACTTGCTGGTCTTTCCTTGAGGGTTCTTCCCACCACCACCATTGCTCGACTTAATCGCCTTCTTGCTGCTGGCCACATTCTCAGTCTCCAAGTTGTTCTCTCCACTCTCATACAGATTTTCATCTCTGCCTCTCTTGTAGTGGATATTGCTTCTCCTTTGTTGTTGAGCTCCCATTGCACCAGAAGCAGCAGCAGCAATTTTGGTAGAGCCTTTTCTCTTTGCATCATTATTGCTCTCCTCAAACCCTGATCTCATCTCAACTCTAGCAAACCTTGCAGTGGAACCATGGAAGGAAACTACCTCTGGTTCAACAACCTTCTTAGGCCCATAATTGAAGTAGTCAGAATCAGAATTTGCAGAATCATATCCACCATCACCACCACCACCAGCATCGTCATTCTCAGAAGAAATCACTACCTGCCTTTGTTGATGCTGCTTCTTCTTCCTAGCTATTTTCATCTCCAGAAAGCTGTTGTCACCATCACCACCCGCATCATCATCTTCCTCGTAGCAACTCGAACTATTATTGTTATTATTATTATTCTTCACCCTCATTCTCATCTTGGTAAGGCAAGAAGACTTGGCCTCCAAAACAACAGAATTGTTGTCAGAAGAATCACCAACGTAGCTCAAACAGCCTTTCAAACTAGAGTCCTTTGACAACATCATCAAACACCTAGCTACATCTTCTTGCTCTTGCTCCAGATCAGAGGCCAAAGATGAGAAAGAACCAGAGTCATTCCTAGAAGGAGGGGCAGCAGCAGCAGTAGCAACAACAGGAGAGGAGGTATTAGTAGAGGAAGAATTATATAGACCAACATTTTTGTACCTCATCATTCTCTTGGATCTCCTTCTCTTGCTTGGAGCTGAAGTCTCAGTATCAGATTGATCATCCATCACAAAATCCTTCAACTTGTCACTCGTGTCGGATTGATCATCGTAGTTATAGTTTCTCGAGTGACAAGCCATGTGACCACACAATGCCTTGAGGGATTGAAAGCCTTTGCCACATTCTTTGCAAATCTTATCCTGGAGTGACAAGCCTGCTGCAGCAGGATTGTTGACATCAGTTTCAAACTTTCTGGTTTTTTTTGGGTTCTCCCTAAGAATGTAACCCGCAGCATCAGTTGAAGAATCCTTCTTGGCATTGTTCATGTTGAGCTTAGCTGCTTCATCATCGAAATCATCGGTCGAATAATTGGAATTCTGATGGATCCTGATATGGCCTCCCAATGACTTCCCACATGGGTACCTCTTGTTGCAGAACTTGCAAATGAACTTCTTCTTCTGATTTGGCTCCATGATCTTTGGCCTCAAGATTATTCTCCTCTTTTCTTTTTAATCGAAACCCAAATCTAACCCGGATGGAAAAGAAGATCAGCAAAGGAAAGAAGGAAGATTAGGAGCAATAGCTCAAGCTCAAAACTAGAAGCTCCAAAATTGCAGGACAATGTGACATTTCGTTATGAACTTGGAAGGAACAAGAAATGGTGGAAAGCACAATCGAGATCAAGAAGCAGAGAGAAAACAAATCTCGAAGCTTGATAGTTGATTTCTCTACTAGACTGCGATTGAATCAGAGGGAAAAAAGGAGGAACAATAGTTTTTCTCTAGAGATGTGACAGTTTTTTCTGCGATTGAATCAGGCTTACCAAACTGATGAAAAAAGCAAATGGAAGCACTCACTACTTTGTCTTGAGAATAATCTCTTCAACTCTCTCCCTCTTTCTTTATTAACTGAAATCCCAAAAGTAAAAGAAAAAAAAAAAAACTTAATGCTCCTCTTTTTTTGCTCCCTAATTTTAGACTGTTTCAATGTCAAGCTGTTACTTAACGCCAAGCAAACAAAAAGGAAGACTAATTAAACCGAATTAAAAGCTGAAGTAGAGAGAAAAAAGAGAAAGGCAAAAAAATGGAGGAACCCAATATCTAAGATTGCAATTGATGCAAAAAATGGTGGTCGCATGGACATGGTTTCTTTATATTGGAAGGGAACTGTACCGAGCTAAGAAGAAGATTAGAGGAAGAAGAAATAAGAAAGAAGAGGAGATCAAAACTGTTTGATGTCTTTGAGTTTGATTGAAGGAGAGAAATGGGGGAGACGAGTGACCTCTTTAGAACGTGCTTAGTTTGGAATAGTGGGGAGACGAGTGATCTGTTAGGATGTTACTATGGTGCACCCACAAAAAGAATAATATTTATGTTAGAAAAAGATTGAAATATCACAAGAATTTCTTCAAATTTTGTTATGTTTTTCTAGTGCCACAGAGTGTTTAGAGGGAGAGGAGCACCAACAATTGGAAGAAGGGAAAAAAAAAACAATTGAAATTAACTAATATTAGTCTAATGTATGGTAATTAACTAATATTTTATTGATTGGTTCTCAGAATCTTGTGATTAATTTTCATTCAAAGTCATAAATGACGATATGGTATCTTTAATTGTAACATATTGTGGGCATGTGGTATGATAAGATCGCAGATGAAAAATAAATTGTACTAATATGAAGAGAAAGGATTAGCTATAAAGCCTATAGTGCTCAAGTGTGGGATTTGGAAAAGAGAACCATTTGGTTCGGGTTTATTTTGGGATGCCATCACGTTTGTCTATTTTTCTATCTTTCTTTTCTCTTTGGACAATAAGGATTTCTGAAATTTGTTGTTATAGTTTTTGTTTATTTTTCTGTCCAAAGTTAATTTTAGATAATTTAATTTCTTTTACAAAAGATAATTTATATTGATTAGAAAGAGATCGAACACATTACACTCAGATATAAAACCAGGAAAGAAAATTAAAAGAACGACACGTTGTCGGGTACAAAGAAATGGTCTTACTAGTCACCAAGTGGGCTACCATATTGCTATTCCGACCAACAAATCATACATTAAGACCATTATAATTGCCAACAAACAAAAAACTTCCTTGAGAATGACTTCAAAGTGATTATCTTGTTTATCGGCTTGGTTTATCTTATCAATGACCACCTTCACGTCCCCTTCAAAACGAACCTGCTTAGACCACAATCCAGACACCGCTGGATGGCCTAGCGAATGACTAATTTTTCTACTATTGATGGATCACCAATATAATCGATATGTACTCCCCTAACCAAGGCAATCGAATGATGATCATTGGTGTTATTACTTATTATTTAGGATGTGAGCGTGTGAAAAAGTGGTTTTGTTTTTTTTGGTGGTGCAACTAGAGTGTTTGGAGGGAGATTAAGGCTTCCTCAAGTATTCCCATGATTGCTTCTAAAAATTTTGTAACGAAATTTATATAGGGTTAATAACATTTTTATTCGGGTCAAAATGCACACATTTTACCTCATTTTTTCCTTAGATGTTTGAGGCGATTTCACCCAATGGGGGTTGATTTTACGCTAGGTCATGCTTTGTTTTGCTATGTTTAAGATCCTAGCAGGTAAATCAACCCCGGAAACGAAAGTTGGATGAAAAGGAGCAAAAACGGGTCAAAAGGAGAGGACAGCGGCAGATTACGGTTGAATCCATGAATTCACGGCCACCAAGACCGTGAAGATCGCGCCCCGACCGTGAATCACAATGGTTCCAGAAGGTTTTTGCACACCTCACTGGACCTCGACTGTTCGCTGGACCGTGAACACTCGCCTTGGACCATGAAGTGCATAAGTAAAATGGTGCACCTTTGCTGAAGATCACGGTCCTCAACCAATGTTCACGACCGTGAACTGGGACCGTGAAATGCCTTCGATCTGGGTATATAAAGAGAGTTGAGCTGAAGAAAGAGGGCGAGAGAGCCTAGTGAGATAACTTCTTCTTCAAGGCTCTAGAGAGAGAAAGTGGTGATCAAGGAAGAGGAATGAGGCTAGAGTTTCATCCAAGCTCAAGGTTTTGGAAATTTCCACCTCCAAGGTTGATATCCACACAAAAGGAAGAAATCATTAATCTCCAAGATGGTTTTCTCTTCCTCCCTTGGTGTATTCCTTCTACCTAGCATGGAGTATTCCTTTATTTCACTTGGGTGTTTGTGAACCCTAGCTAGAAACATGTGAAAGTTTGTATTAAATGAATGATTTGTGTATAGTTGTGTTTGAATGCAAGTATTGAGGTATTTTCATGGCTGTTGTGTTGTGTTTTCCATTTCCAACTACTTTTCCAATTTGACCTAGGTAGAGGGAAAACCCCTTCTTATGAAGAGGCTTTCAAAAGCTCGATTTCCTTGGCCTAATTGAGTCACCTACCTAGTTCAAATTAGGGCACACCTCTTACTACGTTTAAGCACCTTGCGTTGGTAGCAATTTAGCCATCCGAACTTTGATTCAAGGGTGAAGCTTGACAACCCTTAGATGATTGGCTAGGAGAGTTACCTAGGTAGCTTGACGTGTGTCCCTTGGCCTATTGGCTAAGAGAGTCACATAGGTAGCTTGGATTGTAACCCCTTAGCCAATTGATCAAGAGAGTGAACCCGATTAACTTGTTGCTCTTCTCTATGGTTAGGAACCGCCTTCATCATGCACTTTCATTCGGTTTAACTCACCTTTATAACTAGCTAGAGGGAACAACACCCGGGTGAAGCCTTCTTAACTAATGTTCACACCATTTACTTTTTCAACCGCTTTAGTTTTGAATTGTAGTCCAAGCAAAAACCTATTGCTAGATAATGTTTCAAACAATCGAAGTAGGGGTACATTGCCAGCCCGAATTTGATTTTTAAAACATATTTTCCCTATATTGCACCCGGTTAAGGTTTGTACTTGGGCCTTGATTGAAATTTTTATTGTGGTATCGGGTCGAGTCAAATTTTTGGCACCATTGTGTTTGTTCTTTGTGTTTGTGGATCTTTCTTGTGTTAGCAAGTTGTGTTTCTTTGAAGTGTGTGCAAGAGGGTGTATGACCCAGAGTAATCCGGCACCTTTAGCGCCATAAGATGAGAATCTTACCCGCACTCTCCGACTCTTGTTTCGTGAAAGGGAGCTGGCGGAAGAAAGAAGAATGATAGAGAGAGGGGACAACCACAAGTTGGTCCCGAAGTTGAAGGAGTTGTAGTTGAGGAAGAGTTTGAATTCGAAGAGCAAGAAAGTGAAGCCGAGATGGCGGCTAATCAAGAAGCTCAAGCGGGAGCTGCGGAGCAACTGAGGACCATGGGCTACTACATGGCTACCTGGGCAGCGGATATTTGCTAGACCGTTAATTGCACATGTTTTTACCCCTATTCTCGAGCCATTTGAGATGTTGATTCTCGTGTTTTAGGCCGATTTCACGCTAGGTTGTGCTATTTTGTGATATTTCAAGTCCTAGTACGTGAATGAAGGTTTGGGAACAAGTTCGGGGTCGATTGGACGAAGTTTGGATGTTTGGCGAGAAGCTGAGAAGTCACTGTAGACACCACATTTTGTCCGGCATAATTGTTTTATTGAAAATAATTATTCTAACGTCGTACTATGATTATATTTAAAAGGGAAATTGAAGTTAGTTTGGTTGAGACTAGCAGTTGCAAGTCAATATGAACCAACAATTATCAAATTTGCTCCTAGTCGATTCTAGGGCATAATTAGTTAAGATATGATCCGTTTAAGTTAAGATTAGCAGTGACAAATCTTAAATATAAATTCTCAATTAGAAGGGAGGAATGACTATAGTGCAAAGTTTGTTGCTCAAGTTTGGACTTGGGTATGATAGATTAAATGTGACAAATTGAACGAGGCAAAACAAAGACATTATTATCAAATTTGATACATCGTACATCACATGAGTAAACCTCTAATAAAGCAATGACTAAAATTAATTAAAATTAATTACAAGGATTATTGCGAGCTCTACAAAAAAAAGGAAAAAATTGAAGTCATTGGCCCATTGCTACTTGCTCTAGGCACAAACAAACCCACACCAGTAGCCCAATTCTCAAACTATAAACCCAATCCAGGCCCGTAATTTTCGGCCCAGTCCACAAGTCAACCAGCCCAGTCAAACAAAGTCAACGGGTCATCTTCGGTCAACTTGGATCAACCGACTTCTTACAGCCTTATCTCATCCCAAAGGCCAACAATGATTACTGCTACTTCTTGAAAGGAGGAAAATGGCCAGCTCTTCTGCAAACCGAACAAACAATTGACAACACACCCAAATGAATAGTAAAAAACCAGATATAAAAGTGGAGGTCGGCTAAAAACAGAGGGGGGCTTCTGGCTGGAAATCCAAAAAAGGAGGGAGAGAGCAAACAAAATACACGGCAAGCTTGATAAGAAAAAAGGCAGCTGATGCTCAAGAAAAAGGACACCAAATAGCAGCAGCAAGTAGAAGCAAAAGGGAAAAGAGAGCAAAAGCAAAGCAAGAAGATAATCACAGCAACCACGAAGAAACCATTTCCAAGGGTCCAGGTTGGTATTTCTCAAACACATCCCATATTTCATATACATACGAATACATATACGAATGATCACTATATGCACTTGATAGGGATACTATAAAGTGAATAGATCTCTACTCCATGGTAGATCTGTAATAGATAAGTATGTATATGGCTTGATTATAAATCTACTTTAGTTTCCACTTGCTTTCTTTTAAAAATTGTGCTACGAGCTAACCTCTAAAACAGAATTAGCATGAGAATAATGAAGTGGTTTGTACCTGTGTTCTTTGCTAGATATGTTTTCGTGATTGTTAATGTTTTTTATCCATGTATCTAGACATCTAATTCGGTTTACGTTAGCTCAATCAACCCGCCTAAGTTTCAGATCTCCGTCTAAGATCGATTTAACAAAAATCATAACTTAACACTTATCTTAAGTTTAATAAATCACAAAGATGATAATTTCTTAGTGTTTGTCATCATATAGAATATAGAATGAAAAAAGCTTCAACCTCACAATCGACCCACAAAACAAAATCATAGCATAAGAAACCAGTTAATGGCAAAATCAATTAAGATCCAAAGTTCTGATTTAGTCATAGCAGTGGCTGTGACTTAGGTTATTGTTCTTAATCGTTCTTTCCAAACCATTGTCGATACTATATTCTTAAACTCCTATCCCAAACATAGAACATAATGTTCTTTCTCAGTCCGAAATCACAAGCACAAGCAGTGGCTGTGATTTTCGGCTATGTTAAAAGATTTTGAACTAAAACTCTGCAACACGATAATTTCAGATTTCAAAATCCACAGCAAAAATCAACAAAACAAACGATTTACCACGTATTACCATAAAATGCCAATTCAGCTAGCAGATCAAGAAACTAACTCCTAGCTAATTAAAACCCAGAACCTAAAGCCGTTAAAAAACAAATCTCATCTCGAATTTTTACCTTTTAATCATACAAGGTCGTGAGATGGGAGAACATCACCCAGATCTCGGTCCCCTCTAACCTGCATTCCAACCCAATCAGCAATGTTAGATTTCAATCCCAAAAGAAATTAACCAAAGAAAATCTAATCAAAACCCATTTCATCAAACCTACCGAGAGAAGGAACCGAAGGGTTCAGTAGAAGACTCTTGTCGGCAGCGACTGCTGCCTCGGCGGCGTCGACTCCTGCTCCGGCGGCTCCAAGCCGCCCTCTTTTCCTTCGTTTACAACCCGAATACCCCGAATCCAAAATAAATGCTCAAAATTATAAACAAAGGAAATCTAATTAAAGCCTATTTCGTCAATCTTACCGAGAGAAGAAATCGAAGGGTTTCGGTGGAGTCTCTTGCCGGCGGAAAGTGAGCCCCCTCTTCCCCTCGCGTAAATCCAAAACCGAAAAACATCAGAATTCGGTTTTTGAAATAGAAAACCAAAAGAAATCCTACATGCAAGGCGGAATCTTACCCAGTTCGCCATTTTTTTGTTCAATCTGGGGAGTTCGAGTCTTTCTTGTGTCGGGCGATCGGAGAGAAGAGGGAAGTATGAGATGATTTCGTTCTCGGGCGTGGATGATCTCTAGGTAATAGATCGAGCGGGGAAGAAAGCAGATTCGAGAGAGGGGGAAGGATTTCGTTTTTTGCTGTTGTTGTTTGTGTAGTTTCAGAGAGGCCAGAGGGAAGAATAGAGAATCGAGAGAGAATCGAGAGAGAGAGAGAGACAGAGAGAGAGAGAGAGGCGGAGAATTAGAGCATCGGCCGTTTTGGTCGATTTAGGATCAGGCGGCTAGGGTTTATCGGTCTAGGTATATCTATCTCGGCCCCCGAACTGACCAAAATACCCTTAGGGCTTTCTTAAAATTACGGTTCCTTGCCACCCCGTTTTCGAGAAAGTACAAAAATGCCCTTCCCCTGTGTTGAAAAACGAAAATTATAGAGGAAGGTTGAGGTATCGAACCCGCTACCTTCTCATGCGAAAATAGGTACAGCCAAATAACCAGTTGGGCTCCTGGTCCATCTTGTGTAAATTTAATCAATCAGTTTCATTTTATTATTTAATATCCTGAATACGAGATTTCAGATGCGAATTAAGTTAATCCTGTTTCTTTTCTAATACACCAAGTATCTTTCTAACAACTAAGATTATTATGTTTCTCTTTACAACCTCGTAATAACCTTTTCAAATTTTATTAACAAAATTCTTAATGCGAGAATCACGATCAGGGGAACATGATTACAACTAAATTATCAAGGTTATAACGAACTACGTGGACTTTGATCCCGTCTAACGGGTGCGTAGGCAACCGATAAGGTTCGAGTCCAACTAACTAATTAACTTTATCGTTTACGTCAGTGGACGTACAATTAAATTACAATTAATACGATTTAA